CCGGCAACTCCTGTGTAAAAGACTGTAAGAAGTGTCAGACTGTTGCTGGTCTCCGAGACACGCCAAGTGACGGATTTTAGACTCCAGTGATTTTTTTTTACTCAAGCTCTATGTGATTTTATCATCTTTAACTATTGAAATCACAGTTCTATGTATTATATATATATATACACACACACAAAGCTCCAAATAATGTCGAAAGTAAGTGTGTTAAAAAAATTACTAAGCCATCATTTGCTATAACATTTTTTAGGATAACAAATCCACATATATAAAATGAGGAATTTAGGGAAGGGGGTGGATTTGGTGAGGGGAATATGTACAAAATATAGATACAAGAAAAAGAATTATAAAGGCAAACTCCTTTCAAGATATAATCAAGTGCCTTGCCGACTTGCCTGGGCGATCATGCCTCTGCGGTCATCAGCGGCGTGTATCATGTGTGTTCGTGTGTTGACATCTCTCCATCCCATGACAACAAGGCTGTCAAGAATCTTGCACTCTTCCTATGTCTCTCTTTCCACAGATCTTTCCAGTGGACACACCATCTTCCAGCTTCGCACTTCTTATAATATGACCAACAAATGATGACAGCCTCATTTAATGTTTGTGATAAGCCAGCTTCTAACCGATGTCAGTTTCGGACATGCTAAAGTAGAAGTTGTGTTAAACTAGTCTGAATGTGATAGTCTAGTTCAAGTGTGACATTCTAGGAAGTTGTGTTAAACTAGTCTGAATGTGATAGTCTAGTTCGAGTGTGACCTTCTAGAACGTTTGAAAACACTGCGACTGGCTTAGCAAACTGACAGTGGCTTATTTTAGTGCTCGTAGAAAATGAAAAAAATCTCACGAACCGACTATAGCCCGTTCTAGAGATCTCTTCCTTCCCCGACGAGCCAATCCAGGAGTAGGGAAAAGAAAGAAGAAGACGATAAGTTGTCTACAAGCTCTCGCCTAATTTAAAACATGAGGGTTGCACATTTTAGCTGTATAATGAATTCTTCTGTAAAAACAAATCTACAAGGCCTCAAGAAATTGTTCGGCCACTTAATTAATCGTCCAGGATTCACAGCCGTATATTAAAACTAGCTCTATATAGCATGTGGTATATCTTTTCTTACCTTCAATAACATTGATTCATTGCATAAAATGTTTTTCATTTTGTAAAATGCTGTTTTGATCTGTCCTATTTTGTTATTTATCTTTAGGATACATCTTCCGTCGAATGTTATCCATGTGCCCATATACTTTAATTTATTTACTTGTCCTAAAACAACGGTTTTGATGTTTATTATACATTTAGGTCCTATTTTTGTCTTGGAAATCACCATGACCTCTGTCTTTCCATTTTTCAAACTGAGGCCCATTTTGTCACTTTCTACCAGCACCGTATCTATCAAATCTTGTAGTTCTTTCTGACTTCTCGCTATCAAGACGGCGTCATCAGCATAACGTTGGTTCTTAAGAACAGCAACCAAAGAAATTAACACCGTAATGTTGAACTTTCGCAATTCTTATCAAATTAAAATAAGATAACCCGAAATATAAACATAAATGTTTTTTTGCTTGTTTATGAAACACATGCAGCATCTGAAATAACCACGGGTGTTACATCATCGTTTAAAAAAATCATGATCATCATCGTCACTATCATACTTCTGATCACCAACTATTGTTACACAGTATCAAAATAATGACTTTTGCCATGATGCCTCTCCAAAGCTTGCGATCTCCAACAATGTTTGTATCCGTTTATGAACGGACACTTTTCAATGCCATGGTCCCAATAATGCCAATAATCCTATCTCTGTGTGTTCCTCTACCTCTTTTCCTATGTTTTTAAATTTTGTTGAATGCTTTCAAAATGTGACTAAAAACGACTTCCCGTTTTTAATTTTTTTCAAGAAATTCATAATTTGTTTCAATAACTATATACCAATAGCTAGTATCGTGTGAGAAAATACACCCCAACCGGCGCATTCTATTTTCTACCAAGTGGTACGATTATCCCCAACCAGTGCAGACTAGATTCTATATTCATAATATGTTTAAATCACCACTGATCACTGGCATCATGAAAGCTTAAAGACTGAAATGGTTGGGGCATATTGAAAGAATGTCAGATGACAGAGATGTTAAAATTGTGTACACGAGGGAGATGAATGGTCGTAGACCACGAGGCAGACCAAGAAGATATTGGAGAGATAATATCCAACCAGACCTGCACACACTTGGTGTCATCAACTGGAAAGAGAAGGCCAACCAGAGAGATGAATAGAAGCGGGTGATGTCTAGAACAATGAACCTCAAGGGCTCGGAATGCTGAAGAAAAAGAAGAATGATCTGTCCATAAAAGATTACTCGTCTTGTTCTGGGGCTGGTGGTTTCCTGATCGATTTAAGGGTCCTTTTCGTTTGGTGGTTGTAACTTGTACATCCGGCTGCATTTTTGTAGCACCTTCCCCTGCCCATTGATCAGCTCTCTCATTTGCTAGGTTAAGTGGTCTCGAGGCATGGCGTCCGCCTCTAGTCCCTGAGGCCCCAGGTTTAGGCTCCCGTGAAGGCTGGGGTTTTTTCATGTGGACTTCTAGTAATTTTTCCCCCTGGTCTCTGGGTAGTTAGATCGAACGCCCGCGTATATTGTTGTGCAAGTAAAAAAATTATCTGGATGTTGAAAATCGAAAAGAGAAGCCTAACGGCGCTGCCCAGGCAAAATTTTGAGTTTAAAATCTATGCAAAGTTTTTCAGGATCCTCGCAAGTGCTACGGAGTTCGTGCACGGCGTTGAGATTGCTTCGGACTCCGGTTTGAGTTAGAAGTAGAACGGATCACTTATGGGTTACTACCCTTGTGCCATGATGTTGTTCCGTTGCATAAACCATAAACGTATAAACCATTTCATTTCCCGGCACTCCACGATCGGACGGCATCCAGTGAATTGCGACTTTCCGCTGACAGACGAGTTGGGTCAGCAGTATTAGAAATTCTTATAGTTTCCCAGATTGAGGTGTTTCCCTTTATAAGAGGTATCATAATAGCCTCTCTCTGGAACTGTTGGACTTTTCCTGTTGTCCAGCAAACATTGAATATCTGTAATAGCTTTGTTTCGGTGTTTCTAGATTTTTGATCATTTTGTTGCATTTGCCGGTGACTTCCGTATTTGCAACTTCGAAATTGACAACTCCAGTTCGCTAAGTGTAATCGTTGCCTCAAGCTCCTCTGGTGTTTTATCTTTATGATTTGTGATTTGTCTACTTTCTTGAATCTCTTAATTTTTCCACCCTCGGAACTGACTGCAATGTTGTTATCTTGAGCAAAGATGTCTGCAAACATGTTGGTTGCCTTTTTCCCTGTAACCATGTTTCAATCTTTCTGTAGCATTATCTTTTAGTTCTACCCTGTACCCCCATAATTAATTTGTCTAACTTCCATAACTTTCTTGTGTCTTTTTTCAAAGTTCAGGGACTTTGAGGATCAAGAGATTCATTGTAAGCTTGTCTTCTTTACGGATTCTGTTTATAATCAATCTTCGTCTCTTTTAGTTCTAATCAAATTTTCAGGGCAACAGAGGACAGTTCTTCTTTAGACTCTAAAAACATTGCGCGTTCACACCTCATATGTCTCATCCGCCTAAATATGAGACGAGGAAGCTATTCGAAGCTAATGATTTATGTGGATAATGCCTGAGTATTCCATTTTGTCCTGCGACATAAGCATGTTACATGCCTGAAGCATCATCGATAGTCTACAATAAAAAGACATTGACAAACTCTGACAAATCATAGGGACGCGTGTTTGAATATCATCGTTGGAATGCACCAGTGCCTTAGCTTATTAGGTCACTGTCTAGAAACTGGGGATATATGTTAAATGTCAAAAGACTCAAATGATAGTCAAGGCACGCTACTTTTACATAACAGTATCCTACCATAAATAGTTTACATCGTAATAACTGATACACTTATGGAAGGTTGGAACTGGGATATGTTTCAACGCTCATCCTTCATTCCTGATCTGGCACTTTCAGACTTTCATTTGCTAAAGTAACTATGATGCCAACCATTACTTGCCAAAATGGTTATGGATACAATATCCTGCCTTTTAGGAACCGTCTAGGCTACATAGTCGGCTCTGTCGCTAAGTTGATGCGAACGCTTCGTAATGCCGGGATGCCGGGTTCGAACCCAGCTGCGGGCCATGCACCTTGCATTGATTTCGACAGTGGTATTAAGAAAGCCGACCGTCCAGTAAGCAATGGGAAACTACTGGACGTAAATTCGCCTAGAAAAACCACACATCACCCAGTTGCTGTTGGGGTTGGTTCTGCAAAGTCTTGTAAAGGATACTCAACTAACCTAACCTAGGTTACATAAGATTTACACATTAGGTCTAACTGCAAGGGAGTACCACTAGCTTGACAAACAGTATGTAAGTGCATCATCTGAAATCTGTAAATATTTAGATACAAATGGTAAAATAATTGCTAGATTGCAATTTTAATTAAAGATTTATCTACGTACGCGCGCACGTGTGTTTGTGTGTGTGCGTGCGTGTATGTGTGTGTAATGTGGAATATAATTACGCAGTATCATCCTAAATATGGTAGATACAAAATACAGCACTCTTGGTTTAAGCTTAATTTTGTGAAAATATCTTTCGTTCCTTCGTTGGTGATAGATCACATCTTGTTCCAAAAAAAGAAAACATTTCTGTGAGTCAAGTTTTCCTTTTGAAATATGTAATAACCAGTCATAAATAGACACAGACGCATGACCAGAAATTACAATCTCACTTATTCAATTTGCAAAGTAGCTCCGTCTCCTTAGTGGTAAACAATGCAACACTAACGTTGATTGGATTTATTCAATCATAACACGACCAATCAAAAATACACATTACTTTAAATTACTATCTCACTTGGCGTATTTTGCATACTGCTTCGTATTCACATTTCTGGTTATGCAGATATTTCACCCTGACGCTCATTTCGTGATGATGAATGTTAGACTGTTGTAGCAGCATTATTTTGGCCGGATTTATTGATGGTCTTATACAATGGATCACCACTGGTGCCAAGGCTCGGAGCAGCAGTGATTGTGACACCAGCAGATGTGGCTACGGAAGTTGTTGTGGCGTTGCTTCCAACTATCGCAGAGGCTGGCGTCGTACCGCTAGCTCCAGTGTTTCCGATACGTCCTCCCGTATAAGGAAATCCGCTGGTAAAAGTACTTACACCCCCACTGCCAATCACTCCGCCACCGCCCACGCTGCCGCTAGTTTCGCCAGCTGCCTTATGAGAACCGTCCGTAGGCACATGAATCTTATTGTTAACATTCACATCTGTGCCCTGAGTTAACGGAACTGCAACCTTTGATACGCCTATGTGTGTTCTATGCACAGGGGAAGTTACATTTGTTGGCAAGGCGCTGTAGTTACACGTTACAGGCTCCAGGGGCGGCGTAGCTCGAGGCTGAGAATGACCCCTTCGGCTGTGCATGCTGATCTGTGGACTAGGATTGTGGACGTGTGTATTTCCATGGTGTGGTGGTTTCATGGGCGACACGTGCTGATGGGCAGAGGCACCAGAAACTAGGCTTACACACTCATGGCCTAGGCCATCGTCAATAACTGGACATGGAGAACTTTGATTTGACTCCACTCTTCGAAACCTTGCATGATCGAAGTCTAATTCAGCAGCAGATAAAGGCTTGTTGATATGTCGTAATTTCTTTATTCTTTCCCTTTGATAACACAACCCAGCAAAGATGATAATATTAATCAGTAGCAGAGAACCTCCAATAGCAACCACAATGCTCAAAGGAACACCTGCGGCAGATTTACTTCTTCCAATCGATTCAGAAGGCTCAGTTGTAACACCATCATCTTCGCTACGTTGACTGCTTTGATGCTGACCCTTTGGAATATTGCCATCTCTGCTATGCCCCATTGGTTCAATGTCTTCGTCTGTTACATGTGGATAAAATCTGTGTGTAGTCGAAGAGCGTTCAATGGAGCTGCTCAAAGGGGTTGGCCACACTGGAGGCATTGGCGGTGGGGAAGGGAAGATGTTGTCAAAGTTAGGGATCAGACGATGGTAGTCATCAAAGGTTGAGGCGTTGTCTGAGTTGTCCAGTAGATGAGACGATCTTTCTGAGCCGTCATCTCTGTCGATTTTGGGAATAAGATCAAACCAAAGGGCCAGTTTTTGAGATCGGTAATGATGGCGGATGCTGGGTCTTCTGCCTGGGAAGGTGGATAACTCTGTTTATGACAATAAAAACTGTTGTTGCAAACATTAGTCAGAGTGTTAGTGTTAGTATCACCTCGTCTTCTTGTCTGTCTGTAGTCTGTATCTATCACTGTCAGTCGGTGTTTCTAATCTAGCAGTCTCGACTTTTTTCATCATTATATATTTATCAAAATTATACACCTATATTCTCATTGCAGATTAGGTGACCAGGTCTTCCAGTTTGTGTTTCTGTAAATTTTTTCTTTAAAATTAATTGCTAGTCATCCCTATGTGGGATGCAATTTTTGTTATTTCGAAGCCCCACCCTGGCTCTTGCCAGGGGCCGCAATATAGCCCGGCCATAAATATGGCCTAATGACTGAACGCGGTTTCCAGGACCTCTCTACGTGTGATCCTCATCCGCATGGTGGTACTTTGTGTCATTGGGTGTTTATCGCTTGTGTGATGTCCTGGTGGGGTAACATTTACTACTACTACTACTATTACTTTAAAATCGGTCTGTGCCTAGTATCTGCCTGTGTCTAATATCAATCTTTGTGTCTATAATGTGCTAGTCTAATGTCAGTCTCTGCTAGCGTAATATAGCTTGCTCTCACAGAACCTATATCGTTTACTAGAACTAGTCATATTTCCAATAACTTATCTCTCACAGATATCTTAGGCTCGAACAAGTCTACCAGTTTAGCAACCCCCCTCCCCCATTTTCACCTCTCTCTCTCTCTCTCTCTCTCTCTCTCTCTCTCTCTCTCTCTCTCTCTTTTTTTCGCCCTCTCTCTCTCTCTCTCTCTTTTTTTTCACTCTCTTCTTTCGCCGCTCTCTTCTCCCCGGCGGAGATCTTTTTTATTGGTCCATGCTTGTCCTTATCTCGACGCTTTAATTACTTCAGTGAAGTGTCGGCGGAGATCTTTCCAATGCATATATTGGTCCATTTCTCTAAGTGTATTCTTGATGCACTGTTCCATCTCTTGCCTTGGATCTTCCTCTGTGTCAGTGCTCATTATATTTCTCCAACTTTTCTTTTTGTAGAAACTGGTGCCAGGACATTCCTGTCAATGACCAAACATCTCAACATTTCGCTTTTTTTTTTTTTTTTAAACTGAAATGTGTTTCCAGCGATGCCGTCGACATTGAGCAGTCGGTTACTTCGTAACCGCCGTGTCTTTCCTTCATTCTGCTGTTGTTCGATTATTACCTGCTGAAACATGGGATGCTCCAGTTTAATTATTTGATACAGTTGCGCTATGTCTGTCATTCTTGGATTCGCATCAGAACCAGGAGACTTCCGCCGACACTAAGAAAATATTTGGGGGAGGGGTTCTCAAACTTTTTTCAACCATACTTTTTAGATTGTGGATGTTTAAAGGGACTTAAGCTGTGTTGAAGGTGTGGAAGTGAGCAATAATAATGGTAATTAGATAATAATTACTTTTATAATTATACATCTAATTTTATTTATAATAATAATACTTGAAAAAAAATGTATAAACACTTACTTAAAAAAAGAGAACTTTGTTCATGGTAAAAGGGAGCAATTAGCCTCTCTTACACACGTCCTAAAGGGTGAGGGATCGGGGACAAATGGGAGGGAGGGAAAGGGGGGGGGGGGGTGTGGGGGACGATTGTGCGGTGAAGGTGGGGTCGAGATGAAAGGTTTAAAGTGCATGAGCTTCCAGGTTTCTGAGTCCTTAGTCACATCAGTGACTGTTATAGTCACTGAGTGTCAATCTTTCCTCAGAGAAGAAAATGAAAAATAAAGGAATGATGGGACTGGTTCAAAATGTCTTTTTACTGGTACAGTTTGTACACATGGAATGAAGTCATGGACTGAAATCCTTTTCAAGATGAGCATTTCTCGTTTACCTGACCAGGTTGCTGCAGCCATGCTTGGAGATTAGATTATAGATAGTTTTAGGAAAAAGGGGGGGGGGGGGGGTATGGACGACGTGGGTTGATCTTTAACTAGATATTTCCTAGGCGTCCACATTGATTATTTCAGTGGATTCCACCTACCATCTAGTTCCCACATCAGGAATTGCTGCCAGCTTATTTAATAATATCCTGGGATAATTCCCTTAGATGCAATTTTAGTCAGGTCACTGTTGCCATCCCTGATTCGTGGAGTGATAGATTGCTTATATGTTTATCTATTCCCTTTAAAGACCGTTTAGCTTTTATGATAAAGAGACGAAGATAAAGAAGATTTATTTGAAGTAACTGATGCAACGTTAAATCATTGTGATACAGTGTTTGGGTTAACCAGAGTTAGATACCGACCTATATGCAAGTAATCCTGCTTGTCCTTGACATACTTTGGCCACAGTAGGTCAATGAATCTGTTGGTGACCTGCTCGGCGTGTAGTGACGTCTGATTCCGGGGCTCATTCGGGTTTCTAGGGGAAAAAAAAAAAAAAAAAGATAAATCACAAACAAGAAGGGAGTAATACATTATATAATTTTCAGCTGCAAGCGTGCTCTCAACAATATATATATATATATACAATGGTTATGTGACGTCCCAAGTGAAAACCAGTATTTACTGGTAGTTGTATGTTTGCCTGGGCAATATTATTTCACCATTGCTAGCAGTGACGGCTCGCACATAAATACACCATAATATTATCAGAAACAATAAATGAGTATTTGTTTCTTTCTTATATTCTTTCTTTATACTTGTACAATATATAATCTCCAGATTAATGTCAGCAGCCCTCCCCTAGTTCACGAACATTTTTAAAGACGTTTGTACTGACTTGTATGTGCTATCAGTTATAGCGACACGGTGTTTGACAATTGTGCGTATGCGCACATGCAGAAACAGTTAAGCCGTACGTATAACAGAGGCAGCACTGTCACAAACGTTCGTAGACAGACCGGGTACTTTATCGCAACCTTTCGCTCAATAGTACCGTTAATTGGGAAAATGCCCAGCAATGAAGGACTATTTCGTAATCAAGTTTTAACGTTCGCTAGTTTTGTTTTTTTGAGGATCTATTTGTATCAGGTTTATTTTATTTATAAGGATCTTATAGGTATATATATATATATATATATATATATATATATATATATATATATATATATATATATGTATGTGTGTGTGTGTGTGTGTGTGTGTAATGTTTGTTTTGTTTTACACAGTATGAGCACAATGACTAAAATGTTTCTGAAGCAGTACCCCTACTAACTCCAGCCTAAGAGCCGCCACCGTAATTGCTATCTTAACGCTACAACGATCGTACCGCTGTTAAAGTCAACACAGGTACAATCTAGACAATTAAAGTGGAGAGAAGACCACACAAATTACAAACCATAACATGTTGTGGGACGTAGGAAGAAGGACGAATTGAAAAAAAAAAGTGATATTGAACAATTGCTTTTTTTTTTTTTCCGAATACAAAAGTGATGTTTCAAGGCAAGGAAGAGACTTCAGTTGGTGATAACTGGCAAGCTTGATATAAGGCGAGCAGAGATAAAGCGAAGAATTAAATACCTCGAAGAGTTGACCACATGCATGGGTTGGATGAGAGGTAGGATGGCGAGTCATGACCGCCTACGGTAAGCGGTATGGTACATAACAGCAGTCTAGAATGTGTGCACTACAGGACACAGTTTTATGCACACGAAAGCTACGGAAACCCACAATTTCTTTAGGGGAAGTAACTTAGCAAACTCCTTGGATGGAACAATTCTAGTTATTCTCTCACCCTTCCTCTCGATGATAGAGATTTTTGACAGTACAAGTTTATACGTGATATCATAGTGGCTATCTTTCTTGCCAGTAGGCTCTGTGATTATATGTTGGAATCATCAGACGTGGATTTCATTACAATTTACCTGAGCTCCAGCCTAAACATGCATCAGTTCTGAATATTCAGAGCCAGATTGGTGTTGACGGCATAATTAAGTTACCATATTGATTCTGCAGCCCTAAGGTTCTTTTCCTGTTTATTTCAGTGCACCCTCAACAAAGCTCGTCGTCTTAATGCCGGCAGACAAGCGTCTAACCACTGCGGTACTACGACTCAGACATTTAGTCGAACTAGCAATCGGTTCTCTTTTTTAATTTCTTTTTTAGACACAATTTCTTCGTGTGTGCGATCTTTCCAGTGTGTACTTATGACTTTTCTATCAAGCAACGTCACCGCAGCTTCCATCAAACATGTTTCCCAAACTGCCTGACTGTCCATAATTTACTTCCGTACATCCTGGCAAGTACTGAATGATGGTATTATTACGTATTTAATCTAGCAAAACGCTAGAAACAACACGACAAGATGAAGCACACGAAGAAAGATTTATTGCTGAATAATTCTAAGCTTTATCATTTCTGTCGCAGTCGTTGATACTTCTTTTCCTTAGAGAACATCGTGATTCCAAGTCTACACACCTTTAATGATTTGCGTGCGCAATGCTGAAAAGGGAGGAATTTGGAATTTAAAAGCATCTAACGTAACATTATCGTAACTACTAGGAATTGGTGCTTCTTTTTTTTTTGTTACACAGTTTCTCTGCACCAAAATAGGACCACCCCGAGCCTTTAGGTTTGAGTCTGATGCCAGTCATTATCGTCATCATGATTATGAAAATGATCATCATCATCATCCCCATGAACCTCCTGATCCGCATTAGTATTGTCGTCGACACCATGATCTTCATCATCCTCATCTTGCTGTGTGTAGTTTATGCGTCACGTCTTTATGCCGGTCTTTAATCCATTCCGTCGTATACCGTGTAATCCTATCCATATCGCGTATCTAACCAGCCATCTCTGTTCTCTCTATTCAGTGTTCGTCGTAAAGGTAATATGCGTCATGACTCTTCAGTACTTGTGTTTCCTATTCGAGTGCCTCTTTTGTCACGCTCTGTCTGTTTTTGCCTGAGAGTAAGATAAGATTGGAAGCGTTTTCCTCCTATGGATTTAGACAACTTAACAACAACATATCTCCGCTGGCCCATTGTTGACACTGTTTAATCTCATACCCAACCTTTAAGCGCGATGCTCAACCAGAAACAAGTTACATATTACTGACATTCCTCTCAACATATTTAAAGTTTGAGTACATGTCTAGAACATCCCGACGGTTTCTGAAAGTAGGCAGGGGGGGTGGGGTGGGGAGGGGGGAACAAAGAACAACTAGTGTGAAGTTATTAGGCTGGTACGGGTGGGAGGAAAGCTTGTGAACAATCCACACTCTAACAGATGGGAGATGTTGTGTGGCTTAGACCACCTATTCACCAGTACATCAGGACTGAAAGTAGGTTGAAGCGTCAGTGTTCCAGATTCACAAACAAGTAACAAGAGTCAATTGAGTCAGACTCTTCAATATCGTCGGTTCTGTTTCACAAAATCTCTAAAGTCCATGCCATGGCGACATATTGAGAACACGTTGCTCGTCTGATAACATCTTTAGTAAGCGGCAGACAATAGTTGGTGCAGCCAGCTGCTCTAATTACTTACAGTGAAATAAGTAAATAAAGGAGATCATTCTCACACTGAATGTGTGGTGCTATACCTACAGCGTATAGACTAATCGGTACTCGATATGGTGATGTGATCTCCTTTAGTTACAATGACATTTCTAAGCATTTTTTTTTCTCTCATACTGCCTTTCGTCCATCTATTGATTTGTCCTCCCATTTGTATAGTTTTCTACGTTTTAGCTCTCTTGCTTTCGACTTTCCCTCTAGTATGGTTTTCAAAATGGTGTTGTCTTTTAAAGTGGCCCAAATATTGCAAGTGGGTTTTTTAATTTTCTAAATCTTTTAGTAATTCTTTTCATTCACAATATCTGCAGTGTGTGTGTGTGTGTGTGTGTGTGTGTGTGTGTGTGTGTGTGTGTTGTGTATTACACACACACACACACACACACACACGCATACACACACACACACACATGCACACACAGTATAACACAAAATCCATGTATCTTCTGTATATTCTCAGCGAATTAACAACTCCTTTAAAACGGTGACCAATAGACGGATAAGATGTTTAGAGGCCATTTTGGCTGAATTTAATGGTTATATGGGTGGCTATTTCGACAAATTATTGCCACAATGACTGCAAGTTTACAATCGCTGGAGTTATATCTCTCTGAGTATCACTCTCCTAACGTCCCTTGAAATATTTAGTCTAAGAAACTATATTTTCCTCGTATCGGGGAGTTGGGCAACAGATGGTCCATGTATCGAGAATGAAAAAAAAAAAAAAAGGTAGTAATAGGGTGGCTAGAATTAATTATGGATCACATGGGCGCTACTCTCCAACCAAGGGTGCTGGGGCGGTAGCTTCATAGGTCGTCATATTTGGGGAGCTGCAAACAGTCAGAATTGTAACACTAAGTCGGGATTTTGTGTGGGGGGGGGGGGGGGGGGGGTGTGGAGGATGTGTTTGGAGCCTCCTAAAGCAGTTTTTCCCATGATGGGTTCTACCGCATCTTTTGCGGATGTTGAGGTAGTTGGGAGAGCTTTGGCTACGTCGCTCACATTTGTTGGGCGCTGGGACCGGTCAGGGGACTTGGTAGTTTTTCAATTTCGCGGTTCTCGGCACTTTCAGCAACGAGGTCCACGTATTCAAATAAACGGGAGAGGGGGCTTCGTCGGTCAAATCTGTTAGGCGCTGGACTCGGTCAGGGGGCAGTGACCAAACTCACGGCGGCGGTGAAGGGAAACAGGGGATGAAAGATAGACAAATTCCCTGGGCAATTATATCTCTATTCAAGCTCAAATTGTTATCAGAATAATACAATGCAGTTGTTATCACATCGGCCTTAGACGTAAAAGGTCTGTGCTGACACGACCTCCGCCCCCTCCCCCCAACACCCTCTTCTAATTTGTATATTCCCAGTGTAAGCACTTTCCGCAATGGATGGTCCAAGTACTGACATTTGGAAAGATCAAGAAAAAGTATCTGACTGAGTACAATTAATTAGGACTAGAGTGGGAGCAGCAATCCCGTGTTGTTTAGACCAGTGTTGCCCACTGTTTCCTGTTAGGATATACGTCTTATTGCCAACAATCTGAATTGTAACCTAGCGTCAGAGTCTAGGGTGGGCGTTGGGGAGGCAGGGGAGGGGGGGGGGGTACTTTATATTTCACTCTTCTCTGCACTTTCGACAACGGATGGTCCAAATATTCAAATAAAAATGAAGAGGAGTGTTAGTGTGTGTGTGTATCTGGATATACACACAAACTCCCCCTCTATCATAAATGGATTATACGTTATTTTATTTGTCACCTCTTTCATCATCTGCTATTGCAAATTGACAGCTTTCCGCCATTGGCGTTTCTTTGAGAACAGAAATTTATCGGTTTTATTTTAAACTCGTCTGCTTTTGATATCCCACGCAGGAAGTTTGTCTCTTCTTTCATATTTAATTTTTTCATGATC